TAGCTTGATTCTCTTAGAGCGATGAGAATAAAGGAGTGAAGGTGTGGTCATGTTGACATGATGCACTCTTCGGCTAACCTGCTTACAGCACAGCTGGTAAAAAAAACAAAACAGAGAGACAACTGTTTCATAGAAGTTGCTGGTCACGCTAAAAAGATCCTAATTTTTCGGTTGCCTTTCCAATCATATATCTGGAGGTGTTAGCAGTAAACTGCTGAGGCAACAGCTTACTGTAGGAGTGGTCGCGGTGAGATGATGCGACCCCTTCACTTTTGGGTTGCCCTCCCTCCAGTGTGACAGGGGGTGCTGCTGAGAGCTAGAACATGTTGTATTTTGCTCTCCTCCAGTCTCTATAGTATGAGGCACGCTGGCACGCTTATATACCAAGTCAGTGAATAGAAAAGGAAAACTATTCCTCACGGATCTTCTGAAAGTATCTTTACTCTGTTCCTAGTTGTATAGAGGTGATGAATCAGAATTATTATGGGCTGATCACATAGCATCCCAATTTCTTATCCTGTCTCCCTCCCAGAATAAGAATCCCCAGTTGGGGTTTAAGTATGATGTTAAACTTGCCTGTGGATGGGTTGGCCTTCTTTGGTGTACAGAAGGTTGGTATGAGCTTGGTAGGTCTGAGGATGGGCCATACTGCATTACTAACCATCCTCTTGTATGCTGCCCTGTACAGCTAGACATGCTGAGATGTGCCTTGTGAGCCGCTCCCTAAGGTGAAAGTAAGATGTAGAGCTGGAGGAATGAGAGATATCTAGGCAGGCATTCTAGTTCCCATTCTCTCATTTTGTCTCCCTTCCCAATTATATTTTGGGGTTTTAACTAGGGTTGTATGCTCCCCTGTGTGAGGGTCACATTCTGTGGTGAGAAAGTGGCCCTTGTCTATGGACTAAGCATACTACTGGAACATAGTGGTTTATGGAAGTCTCTGGAAAGCTCTGATCCTGAGCTCCTGTGCCGCTTCCGGATGTCAGGGTACATGTGCTGTAGTTCCTTTTGCTAAAATAGGGATAAGGTAAGTACTGGATCATGGAGCTCTGTTATTTTTCTCCAGCACTTGTTGTCACTGGCTATTAGGGAATGACACTGTGGTAAAAGTCGCATAGGATGCTTCCAGTGAAGTCTTGATGCTCAACTCCAGACTTGACCATAGAGTTGGTAAGCCTATCTAAAACTCCATTTCTAACTAAAAAGAAATGGACACAGCGACCCCATTGATTTCAACGGAGAAGGCTGAAGCCCGATTATTGCAGTTCCTGCCTGATGTCTGAGCGACTGCACAGGCTCAAACTGAGCTTGACGACAGTCTGACAGTCGTAAATCTTCTAGTAGTTGTGCCAAGACAAATCTGAATCACCTAATTCCTCAAAAATGTTGTTGAAATATTTTGTCCCATTGCTTTTATGGACTCTCTATTTATGGGCTTCTACCTTGACTTTGTGCCTCCATGTCCTCCCGATTGCCTCATAGACAGTAAAAGATTGCCTGCGAGCTTCTCCTCCTGTCTATACAGTAATGTCTCTATTGTGTGTGACAGAAAGTCCCATGGTTATGACGCAATCTTTAGCCTATTTTTACAAAAGCGGCTTCTACGGGGCCGTAGCGTAAGAAACAAAGTAAAGGAGCATTTTATACATTGTCGTGTTTCTTTAGAAATAAATAATGGACAAATTAAGTCTTTGGACGCCTCAGATGTAAAGTTATTCGCTCTCAAAGTGACGCCAAAATGAATGGGAGTCAATGGGATGCTAACAGCAGGTGAAGTTCTGCTACAATGGCGGCTCCCGCGAGGCTTCAACTTCCGGCTGATGATTACCCCCTTGGCAGTTCACAGATTCTCTCAGAATGGCGTAGTTGGTATTAACATCCCCATAGTGTCAACACCATGAAATAACATTGAGTTCCCTCGAAAGGGAATGTCTTTCCATGTAGAGGGGATGAGACGGCGCATCACCTTGCCGTGCCTTGGGCACGCCTGCACATCTCCTTCAGTCAATGAATGACACAAAAAGCTAAAACGTACTTAGGAGAGAGAAGGAGGGAGAAGGTTATCCCAGTCCACAAAACCTGTGGCATCAACAAGAAAAGATATGGCAAGTGGTTTCTCCTAATTTTCAGAAGCTAATAAGTCTGTTTTGCTACCTTTTGTATTATTTTTGTGGTTGTATGTTATTGTTTGCATTTAGCATTACCTTTCCCTGATGACTGTAACAGAACAGACCCCAATTTTCAGGTCGACACCCAGCAGTCGTAAAACATTGCTTGATTACCTGCTCACCTCATTTATCCTCAAATACTCCCAGTCCCTTCATCTTCCCTCATCTCCTCCTTCAGATCTTTCCATCATCTTTTCTACCCATCCTTTGCCCTCTCTGTCCACTACCTTTCCTCATCCTCCTTTCATACCGTCTTTAGAATGGCAGCAAACAGCACAAAGGCCCTACTGTGCAGTAAGGTGAAAGCGAGAGAGGGAGAGCGCGCATGGATCCAGTTACCCAGCAGTGACGATTAGCAGGGGGCATTCCGTGTCTCATTGTCCCGCTCTTCTCAGAGGACTGGAATTGTTTACACACCGTTCTAATTCAGAGCTGCCCTTCCATTGAACCCCCAGGGTGCCCCCTCGCAGGGCAGACCTAGGCACCTGTGCCCGCTTGGCACAGAGCAACAGCTCTAACAGAGACACCTAGACCTCTACAGTAGTAAAGCCTCATTGACAAAGATGGTTCTTTCTCATTATGTAATACTTTTAGGGGTTCAACGCAACAAAAAGAGTTCTTGCACATCTGACAGCTGCACTGGCTTGTATAATTGAACACATGCTGATATGGATTCTAAAGGCCTGTTCACACCAAGAACGATAAATGTAAAGATAATAATGATAACTATATGAGCATCCACACAAGTAGACAATATCGTATATAAGTTACAGAAATAAATGAATTCACTTTCAAAGAGATATACATTTCAGCCAATGAATGTTAACGGCCAATCAAACTCCATCTGACATTAAAGCATACACTCTGGCCTTCAAGTTCCACTTTCTGGCAGAGTTCAAATGAGAGGGGAGAGGAAATGATGGTGAGAAGAAGGACACATAACAACAGGAACGGTTGCTTGCTAGATTCACCTTGTTTGTATGAGCACCATGGCCTAATATGATGTGCTAACAGGTGTTGGATCCAACAGGTTTCAAAATGTTGCAAGCTATATGTGA